CCAATCATGGGTAAGTGCATTGCGTTCTCAAGGTGCTTTTGGTTTGAGCCACCCAAGAAATAACCACCTCAAGTTCAATGGAGCAATTCCTGAAGCTATACTCTTTTAAAACAAATCATTGATTTTAAAATAGTTGGACAAATTTAAATGTAATATAAACACTTAAAACTGGACAAACACTATAAAGCAGCTATATCAAAACCCATCTATATTTATCATCCTATAAATACAAATCATCTATTTTAAAACCCCCTGAGTAAAAAATCTTTCTTCATTTTGGAAACATTTTTTCACTACCAACAACCCCCGTCACAAACCCTGGGATGTCTGACTTTGCTGGTGAGACCCTGAACTAAGGGCTAGAGAGGCCGCCATGGGGCGCCTGTGGGCACACTAGACAAGTCTAAACTATCGATCCAAATGTTTTTTCTTTACTCAATTCACTCCTTACTAGTAGACACAATCTTTTTGGTATTTGGATTATGATTCAACAAAACCCAGGAAAAATAATAACTGTAATAATCAGAATGTTAACCAATTATGACTTCTCTAGTTGTGCTGCTGTGGATGCTTGGACATCCTGCACTGATACAAAATGTTTACCTTACATGTCATTCTGACTTTTGGGAAGAGCCAGAAGTCACACGGTGCCAGATTCCATCACTGAGATGGGTGAAAACAACCATAATGTTTTCACAAGCTTACCTTGCACGGCAGCAACATGTTTTAAATCACAGTTTGCAAAGACACTCACAAAAGATGACTTCTACAACTGCTTCAGAAAGTGGCAGGAATGAGATGTGTGGTTAAAGCGAGGGAAAGTACTTTGAGGGAGAACAATGGCAGTGTGTCTTTTGCTATCATAAATTTAGAAATATAAACACACCGTTTTTATCACCCTTTGTATATTTTACTTTAACTCCAAACTAGTAAACAGTAATCAATAAACAATTTTCCACTCCTTTTTTCCTTTTTAAAAATGGGGCCCAATAACAAATTGATGGTGAGGGACAGAAACAGTGGCACCTTGGATCTGTTTGGGGTCAAGTGGCCAGGAGACAAGGAGGTGCACGGGAGCTGCTCTCCAGCCTGATCTGAGTGGAAGCCTCCTGAGACACACGTGTCGTGAGTTGAACCCTTCAGACCCGTGCACTTCAACCTGTGTGTCACATTTCGAAGCAAAGAGAATCCAAAATCCCAGCACCTGCATTTGCTTCAAGCTCCCCGCCCACCAGCTAGCCAAGGAAGGGAGCGCTGTGTGCCTTTCCCGTGCAGTGGCCTCTCCAGTTCCTTGTTGGCCAGGTGAAAGTGCATGTGCTCTCCTGGCTCACCTCCTCAGCACAGCCTCCTGGAGTTTCCTTCTTGGTTTGACGCCTTCCTCCCTGAGCCTCCCATACTTGGGTTGTACCTGCATTGAACTGTGATTTGAACTCCTTAGGTCCCTATATCTGGGGCAAGAAACATGCGAGTCCCTCTCCCTCCCTCCCTCTTAGAGATTTTTGCCAACTAATGTCACACTCCAGGATACTCACAGGGTGAGTGCCTTGACCCTGGCCTTGCCCAGTTCATGCCAGGGGATGAGGACAGCAGCAGTCACTGGGCAGGGGTGGGCAGCTGGCAGCTGAGATTCCTTCTCAAGGAGGTGATGGGAGGTGGGCTGCTTGTGAACCAAGGCCCCAAGCCCCTGATGCATCTCTATACTCCCATCAATCTTACTTGCAAAGCACAAATCCAAAGATAAAATCATTAAGAATTTCAAGAGCCCAAGTACGGAACATTAACCTTCAAGTGCAACAAATGTGGGTCCAAGCACACTGGTCACTTGAGAAGCAAGTGCAGATTCAAGGCCTCCCTCTCAAGGATGGGTGTGGACTACAGTTTGTGGCCTTCTCTGGATCAGAAGTAGTAGATGGTAGTATCAGGGCCTCAGGAGAGACATGGGAAGAGGTCTCACCCGGGCTACCCTTCTTCCAGGACACTCCCCTGAGTGCCACCAATAGCTCCCGCCTGCAGGTCCAGGGTAGGGAGGAGGGTAGTAAGGGGGGCCTACCGAGATCTGCCAAACTGAACCACAGTCTGCCCAAAGCCAGCTGCACCCTCTCGGAAGATTATGGGGTCCTCCACGTCCAGGTTGAATCCATGATAAGGAGCCAGGACTGAGAAATATGGGGAGAAGTGGAGGTAAACAGAGAAGAACACTTCCTCCACCCTGCTCTCCGAATCTCCCACCCCACTCCAGCCGCCGTTCCCACCTGGCCAGCAGGACCGAGCCCTCTCTTGCCATGACACTTAACTGATTTGCCGTCTATGTGGTTCTCAACTCTCTCTTTCCCTCCCCGCAAAATAATCAAACTCCAAGTGAAAAGGAGGCAAATGGCTCATCAGAGGGCATTTCAAAGGTTAATCCGAATCTGAAATAGGCCAGTTGCCTTCTGGCATGTCCGATCAGGAATGTCAACATACTAAAGGTAAAATGAATGTGAGATTTACTGTTTAAACTAGGATCTTCAGAGCATGAAAGGGGGAAATCATTAAAACTGCAGTGGGGCCTGCCCCAGGGCACATGCACATCCTGTGGAAAGACTGCCCTGCTCCAGTTTCTCATGATACGGAGAACCCAAGGTCCAAGTTGGGGAGCAGACTTAAAAGTCTGTGCTGAATTATGTGTAATTGTATGTTTCTCATGTCCCCTATCGTGCTGCCAGGCTCTAAAAGAGGACTTTGTCCTGTTGTTCAGTGTCTGGAACAGTGGCAGGCCTCAGAGGCTATATAATTATTATCTATTGGTAACTCTGAACAGCACAGAAAGTCAGGATCCTACCCTGGTCGTTTTGGTCACACTCCTCTTGCTGGTGGCTGATCTCCCAAGCTTTGGGAGTGAGACGACATACATTTCAAGGACTTTTCCTGACTTTTCCAGCAGCCATCTTTCCTCCCCACTCCTCTAGAATTTCCTGTTGCTTCTGGATTGAGGGCAAATTCCAATTCCAATATGTTTTTTCTTATCTGACTTTTAAAATTTTTTCGTCTTTTTTATTTGCTCTATATAATGATTAGATTCATAGTTTACAACCCTAGTGGTTTTAAATAAAAGATAGATGATAGGGAAAAAATTAGATGGAGGGAGGAGGAGAGAGGGTGGGACAGGAGGAAATGTAGTCATATGGGAAGGGAGGGGTAGGGGACATAAAAAGAATGAAGGTGTGTTATGTACTAGCTCTTCACGATGCATGTAATCATTATATTCTGTAAACATACACTAATAAATTGAAAAAGACTTAAGCAGGTGGGGGAAAAAATACAACATAGAAGGGTTCCTTTGCCCCCACAGTCTTACCAACATTTGATATTATTTGATTTCTTGTTGATCATTGTTCTCTCTGGGGTAAGCCGGAAACTCAGTGTTGTCTGAACTTGCGTTTCTCTACTATTAGGCCAGAGATGTTGGATATTTTTCATGTACTTATTGGCCATTTGTACTTCTTCGGAGAAGTATCTATTCATTTCAGTTGCCCATTTTTTGACTGAGTGAAATTGGATTTTTTTTTTTAATTTTGAGACAAGGTTTCACTATGTAATGCAGGCTGTCCTAGAACTTGCAGTGATTCTCTTGCCTTGGCTGAGTACTGGGATCACAGGAGTGGACTATCGTGCCCAGTGTAATATCTGATTTTTAAGTGATACATGAATGTGATCCTGCTATAGCTTTCAGAGCGTGGACTATTCTCTTGGTAGTAACAGGACGTGCCCACCTGAAAATCCAGACTTAGAGGAAATCTAGGCCCAGAGAGATGGCATCGGACCTTTCCCAGTCCCTGGTGGCTTCCACGGTCTCCCCCTCCCAGAAGCATGCTGAGCAGACTTCTGTCCTCACACAGGGCTGTCGTGAGTGGGAGCAGGGAGGCCTTGGACAATGTGGTATCCAGAGAGGCTGTCCATCCCGGGTGTGAAGCACTCACAAGCCTCTCTCCCCTCGTCCGTGTTCAAGTCACATCCCTCCAGACTCCAAGCCAGCCCTCCTTCCGAACAGACCTGGACACTGGGCCTTTTCTGGCCATCAGCTCCTCCTGAGAGCTATAGGTGCTGATCACCAGCCCCAGCCTGACCTACCCGAGCTTCTCCCCAGCCCTGAACGCCCTACTCACCACCTAGGAGGAGCACAACCCTGAAGGCCATCACGGAGCAGCAGCTGAGGGGAGT